TAAAATCGGTATACCCTTCTAATAATAGGAAAAATATTCCTAAAGCCCTAACACGTACCACTTTTCAATATCTTGATAAAAGCATTTTGCATTAGCAGGTAGTGAATTTTATCAGGAGACGGTAAAAATGGATGCATTTTATTACAAAAAAATTATCCCAACTGTATTGTATAGATTAAACATAAAATCAACGTTAAGCATTAGTCTTCCTGTGTTGAGTTTCGGACTGAGTGGTTCTCTGTGCATAGATAAAAGTGTGGTTTTAAGAAAGAAAATTTCGAATCAAACGCGCCGCAGTTCCAAAATTTCTCCTGACAAATTACGTTATATTTGTGGAGAATTTATGGTGAAATCACAAGCCAGGCCATTTTCTGAAAATTTAGAAAAAGCCTACTTCAAATATTTTGGAGTTTTAATTGGAAATCAAGACAAGCAGTGGGCTCTTCATGTGTCCTGTATTAGTTGTAGCGTTTCATTGGTGCAGTGGATGAAAGGAATAGAAAAAGCATGCCTTTTGCAGTTCCAATGGTATGGCGAGAATCCACTAATCATTTTGACAATTGCTATTTTTATCTAACGAAGACTGAGGGTTATTCCAAAAAGAGAAGGCACAAAATCGACTATCCAAATTTGCAGTCTGCCATACGACCTGTTCCTCATAATGCAGATTTACCAGTGCCGATTGCGCCTTTAGATCCACAAAATAGTGTTTTGGAAGATGTTGCAGACAGCACATCTTCAGGCATCTGTGAGGTACAGTGTACCAACCCTATTTATACTCCAGGTTCCAGTTCCGGCGACCCACATTTGATTGTTTAAAGTGAGTTGAATGATTTAGCATGTGATTTGGGGTTATCAAAGCAACAGTCAGAACTTCTTGGTTCCCGTCTCAAGGAATGGAATTTGTTAGCCAAAGAAACCAAAGTTACGACTTTCAGGAAAAGAAATAAAAAATGCTATGTTTTCTTCATTTTCCAGTATGGAAAATTCGTTGTGTGCATCTACTGATATCGATAGTTTAATGCAGTAACTTGATATTGAGCATTCTCCCAGTGAGTGGCGCTTATTTATAGACTCGTCTAAATACAGTTTAAAAGCTGTATTATTGCATAATAGCAATTTAAATTAAAACCCTCTATACCAGTTGCCCATTCAGTGACGATGAAAAAAACTTATAAAAATATGCGCACACTTTTGGATAAAATAAACTACAACAGGTATAAATGACAGATATGTGGAGACTTAAAAGTTATAGGAATTTTAGTGGGACTTCAGGGAGGATTTACAAAATATTGCTGTTTCCTTTGTTTGTGGGACAGTCGTGCAGTAGATCAGAATTATGTAACAAAAAAATTTGGCCAGAAAGAAGCGAATTTCAACCTGAATCTCAAAATGTTAAGTTTAGACCTCTTGTAAGCCCCAAAAATTTACTTTTGCCTCCTCTTCACATTAAACTTGGGCTGATAAAAAACTTTGTATAGGCTATGAATAAAGAAAAGAATTAAGTCTTTTCCCAGTTAAGTGATGCCAAATTATAGGAAGGCATTTTTATTCGGCCACAAATCAGAAATTTGCTGGACGATGTTAACTTTACAGAGAAGCTTACCAGTCAGGAACTCAGAGCATGGAATTCATTTGTTAGTGTAGTAAGGGGATTTTTGGGCAACAATATGGATGCAAACTACCAACAGCTAGTTGATGAACTTTTAGATGCCTACAAATCGCTTGGTGCCCGAATGCCATTCCCATCTGTCATTTTTTCCTGAAAATTTGAGAGCTGTCAGTGACGAGCAGGGTGCAAGGTTCCACTAATCCGTAGGTTCCACCAGGATATCAGGACGATGAAAATTCGTTATCAAGGACGATGGGATCCAGCCATGATGGGTTATTACTGTTGGTTTTTGAAGAAAATAGATATCACCCACCATAAAAGGAAAAAATAGGATATAATTAGTGTTTACAGTTAATTTTTTAATGTTTGTGTTTTTCTTAGATGTAAGGTATGTGCAGTAGGCGTAAAACTATAAATAAAGTCGATATAAAAAATCAAGTAAAAAATTAAAAAATTCTTAAATTATGTTTTCAATAGATATTAAATATTGAGACATTAAATATGGTTCTATAAGTAACAAGAAATTTTTTCTCATTTTCGTATATTGATAGGTTCATTCTACAAAAAAAAAATAATAAAATTTTGTTGGCCAATGCAATGTTATTAGGGAAAAACAAAAACCTGTATTTTATAAAGATATAGATATAATAGAATATAAGCGTAGGTTGGATTTTTGCAAATACTTTCAATTCACAATTCTAAACAAATGTATACAAATGAAAAAAAGATCTATGACAAGTTATTAACGAATGCTCGGTCTAAACATCTAAGGTCTAAACAATATGAAAATCGAATGAAAAAATCGGACAATAAATCGAAGCATGTGGTCCATTTGCAAAGAAATCAACAACAGCATAGGGACTGATCTAGAAATTAAAGTTGAGGGTGAGCCTGAGATCATTGCTAATAAGTATAACGATTTTTTCTCGGATTTTTTACTCTCAGTTGTGCCAAATTTACTAAATGGTTTGAATGATATTTCTTTCACCACCAGCATTGGGGATAATGTGGATTCAATGTTCCTACATCCTGTAACACCGGAAGAAATTTGTGAGATAGCACAGAAGTTAAAGAATAAAAGTATTAGCGGAATAGATGAAATTCCAACAAGCATTATAAAAATAACAACTACGGTTCTTAAGTTCATGTCATAAACAATTCCTTCAAGTTTGGGATTTTTCCTGAAAACCTAATAGTGGCCCTAATAAAACCATGGTAAGTATAAAAAAGGGGACCCAAAAATTCTAGACAATTATAGGCCTATAGTATATTACCTGGTTTTTCAAAAATTTTCGAAGCATCCATGAGTATTTAGACTCATTGACTTTTTTGGTAATTGTAATTTATTTAGTCACTGTCAACATGGTTTTCTTAAGGGTAAATCCACACAAACAGCGCTTTTCGCTTTCATTAAAGACTTGGAATGCTATTGGATTTATCTAAGGCCTATGATTGTTTGGACAGAAATTAACTTATGCAAAAAATGGAGAAATATGGTGTAAGGAGTAATGTAAAGAAATGGTTTGTCTCATATACTAACAACAGGAGACAAGCTGTAACAGTAAAATGGGAAGAATCTCAAAAATTGTGTAAAATGATGTAGAAATTGCACAAGAGAGTATATTAGGCCCAATTCTATTTATAATTTTTTTGAACGACTTCAGTTTGGTAGGGAATTCTTCTAGCCAACATATTAGGTCTGTTTGTTATTTTAGTGTAGGATAGGTCAGTGCAGACTGCTGGTGCAGTTAGGTGTTGCTCATGATCACCAGGGTAAAGGAAAGCTACCAAACGCGTTAGTGCAGTTCGTGTAGCGATAGCAGCGGATAATTCTCTAACCTCAAAAAATGATTATTTAAATAAATCAAAGTGGAAACCAACTGAGAAAAAATGTGTGTAATATTATTGAAAAAAATAAAATTTACAAGGTTTTATTGTCAGAAATTATAGAGAAGATGAAGATTCCCTTTCCTCCAGCTTGAAGACAGTTTCATTGAAGTAGTTTTTAATACCCAGAAGCGCAATAAATGAAACTGCATTAAGAAAATATTTTGAGACTGTAGTGCCTTCTTATACAGATATCGCTGAAATCGAGGTTTAAAAATATAGTAACAGCCAAACAAAACAACACTATTGCGCCCTCCCCATTCTGCACTAGTTACACCTCCTGTTGAGCAGGTGTAAGTAGTGGAAGATTGGGCACCCTACACTGAAATAACAAACGCCTTACACTATTTGCACTAACTGCATAACAAACGCCTTAGTGCAGAAAAGTGTAAATTATTGTGCACTAGTGGAGGATAACAAACAGACCTATTATAAAATATGCAGATGACACAAATCTGATTGTCGGCAGCAAAACTATAAGGATTGATACTCAAACTGAAGAATTTTTCAACATGGTAACGAGTTGGTTCTGCGCCAATACATTAATTCTGAATGAGAAAAAAACAAATATTTAATTGTTTAGAACAAAGCAGACCAAATTACACAGACCGGCACGGATTCCATTTGGGAAAAACAGTCTAGATACAAATGAGAACGCAAAGTTTTTAGGTATTCAGATAAACAAACACCTTGATTGGGCTTGTCATATAATACAGTTAGCTAAGAAGCTAAATTCTATTTGTTATGGTATTAGGATAGTAAGTAAATATATGAATGAGGGCTCATTGAAAATATTATGCTCTGCCAACTTTGAATCTGTTCTAAAATATGGTATCATCTTCTGGGGAAAGGACAGCAGGTTACAAAATATCTTTGTTGTACAGAAAATACTAATAAGAATAATAAAAAAAATGGACTACCTCCAGAGCTGTAGATGAGTATTTAAATGTATGGGTGTTATGACAGTATATGTAGTGTAATTTATGAATGCCTAATGTTCTTCTTTCGCAACAAACATCTTTTTGATAGTAAAACGGAACACAAACATAACACGAGAACATTGGATTTTAAGTACAACCACATAGACTTACTTTAATAGAAAAATCACCCCATTATATGTGTGTCAAATTATTCAATACGCTCCCTAACCAAATACAAAGTCCTGATTCAGGTAAAAAATTTAAAATAAATATTAGGAAATTGTTAGTAAACTTAGAACCATATTGTTTAAGAGATTTTTGCCCAGATCTAATAATTTTATAACATTGTGATCTTTTGAGTCTGTTTCATTTCATGTACTCGATTGTATTATTGTATTATGATCTTGAATAAAGAAATTTATTATTATCATTATTATTATTATTATTAACCGAGTTATTAACTAAGGAGCAATTCAAATAAGACAAATGAATATGCTAAAAATCTTTTATCTCCTGAAGGATTATTTTGGAATAGCTATAATAAAATTACAGTGTATAGGTTTATCTATTTTTATTTTACATTAATCATCTTCTGCCATCATTTGTGCTATCAGCTTTTTTCTTTCCTCGGCTCTCCTTAAATTCATCAAAGTAACACTTTCAAAGTCTGATTCTTTTATTAAAACACTTGTAGGTTTATTTAAAGCACTTTTTGGTGGTCCATTCACCCATTCGAATTTCAAGGGGTTTTCTGATAGTCCAATTTCAAAGTCCACTGCCATTTCTGCTGCTCTTTGTTCTTTGAATTCCACCAAGGCGCTGCCTTTTTTCTTCGGAGATATAACTAAACCTTGTATTTCGCCGTATTTCGATAAGAATCTGTGTAGCATTTCTTGTGTGTAGCCTCCATTGTTTGGGTCTTTTTTCTCAGCAGTCCATTTGATTTTTATTCTGCCGTTGGCACTGTCCCATTGAGTATCCGATTTGTTTTTTTGTTCATTTATTGTCCTCAAAACACTTTCAACTTCCTCTTCGACTTGCTTGGAACCTTCTTTTCTTAGCCTCTCAATTTCTTCTCGTAATTTTTGTGCTTCTGATTTACGTTGTTGACTTTGTCCTGTACCAGCTAGTCTTTCGCGAGCCTCCAAATCTTCTTTAAGTTTGCGTCTTTTACCGTCTAATTCTTTATGTCTTAATTCAGCTTCTTTGCGACCGTTTAAAACTTTATCATAAGCCGCTCTTGCAGCATCGTCAATCAGAAGTTCAAGGATTTTAGATAGTTGGTGGAACTTTTTCGCAGCCTGGGGATCGTCGGGGTTTTTGTCCGGATGGCATTGCAGGGCTTTTTTTCTGTAGGCTTTTTTAATGTCCGCTGTTTTGCTCGAGACCTCTATTTCTAGGATTTCGTAAAGGTCCATTTCTTCTATTTTGAGGTCGTCCATGACTGAGCAATTTGTTTACGATATTTTTTCTGATTTTGTAAATGAAATACTTTTGTGAAAATCACTTAAATCGGAAATAACTGGGAAAATTCAGTAACGTTTGGAAATCTAAATAAAAAAATAAATAAAACATTAACATAACCAAACTTTTCTGGTGTTGATAGTTGTCAGAAAGGTCAATAAGGTTTTTTCAGTTGTATCTGCTAGGTCTGCTCTAATCAGTTCTGGAGTTCTGCCGTTACTTGGAGCTTGGAGCCGATAGAAATAACAAGGAAATAACCTCTTTTAGCGAATAGCGCTTTCAAAAGAAATGGAGCGACACCGGTGCAAGCGGAGCAGCTGATTGATTAGTGATTTTTAAGTGGTTTTCAACTACTTAAATGATTTTAGTTGTTATTTGAGTATGCTCAATTATTTATTTGTTTATTCAAACTATCAACAGTTTTGTTATCAATCAACAGCAGAGCCAAATTCAGATGGTGACTTGATAGTAATAATACAAAAATACAGGTAACTACATTGAAACCTTATAAAAAATCTTAAAGTTAAACATATCACAACCCACGAAGTAATACAATTTTAGGATGATTACAATTTTCTACATCTGAGGCATAAGGTAGATCACACATTATAGATTGGAGAATGTGTACTTATCGAGGTACTTATATTGTATTATATTGGTTCTAGGGTAGATTGTGACGTTAGCGTGTTTAGACAATGGACCTCTCTGCACTGCAACCTGATTAGATCTATTGTACTTCCTCTTATATCTATAGTAGGTTCCCAAATTAGGGCTTTTGGCAAAGCCGATAATGTTCCTGGGATTCGCTTCTCTCATATCCGCAGCCTTTAAATTGGGCTACTCCAGATGCATAAGTCTTCTGCGGCACAATGCATTGCAGTTGCAAAGTATGTGTTCCGCAGGCTCAGAGGCTTCTTCACAGAAGCGGCATAGGACTGATTCGGTTCTGCCCATGGTGGTAACCGAGAGTGACCTCTAAAGGGGCCTAGTCCCATACCAGTCTGGACTTATCAAAATCAAGTCAAATCAAAATATGCTTTATTGTTTAAAGATACAAATCTTGATAACAAAGCTTCCAAATATAATATAGGTAATTAAAATTAAAATCATCAACTAAGTAGGTACGTAAAAATAAAGATAATAAACAGGAATAAAATAGGAATAAAAACAACTGGATAAAATAGATCGAAAGACTGCTCAACATTAAAATTAAAAACAAACTTAAAATTAAAACTTAAAATTATTGACCATTATACAGAGGAGATGAGAAGTACTCCTCTACAGAGTAAAAACCTTTAGCCAAAAGTAATTTTTTGACTTGTCTCTTGAAACATCTTCTCTCCTTTATTGTTCTTATGCTATGAGGTAGGTGATTAAACATTTTCTTACTCCTATAGTGAATAGATTTTTGAGTTAGTGAGGATGAGGGAATTGGTAGATCAATTACATGTGAACTTCTGGTATTGACCAAGGAGGGAGCATGAATATTAGAGGAGTACTTCTTCTGCATGAGACACACCGATTCTAAAATCAAGATAGAGAGAGAGAACATACTTTATTGACCAAGAAGTACATATAAATGGAAATCTTATTGTCCAAGCTTAGGTTGTAAACATATTCTTAGTACCTAACTAAAACCTACTTAGAACTAATTAAACTAGTAATAAGTATCTGAAAGAGAGAACAATGTACGACTAAGACCAATGAAATGGGACACATTTAAATAATAAAATATAAAAAGCACAGAGCAAGGAACATTTAAAAATCTTAAAATGAATACATTTATAATTTAAAAAGGAGTAGGCAGTAAAAACAAAAAATCAGGTACAATTAACAAAAGTATGTGGCTTGACACCTATATATTCCAGTTAGAAACAGATTAAAATCAGCCACACAAGAAAAACCGTCACACTCAACACAACAAATAAGTTTTACTAAAAATTATGCATAAAAAATTCATCATACGAATAGAAAGCCAAATCAACAAGAAGAGTTTTACAACTATGTCGAAATTTTTTGAGGTCACTGATTTCTCGAATCTCCAGTGGTATGCGGTTATACATTTTCAGACCATTGTAAATGATAGAGTTCTTGACTAATTCCAAGTTGGGGATGGGTAGGCAAAGATCGTGTGAATTTCGAGTCTGATAAACTCTGCTGTTTGAAAAATGAGAAAGATGTTTATGAATGAGACACACTGTTTCTAAGATGAGGATGCAAGGCAAGGTAAGGATTTTATTTTCAATAAAAAGTGGTTTACAGTGTGCCCGTGAATGGGATTGACACATGAATCTAATGGCTCTTTTTTGTAGGATGAAGGTGGAATTAAATAAATACTGACTACAAAAACCCCAAAACGCAATGCAGTGCCTTAGGTGTGATTCAACCAAAGCAAAGTAGGTGATTCTCGCTACAGATTTACCAAGTTCCCGAGCAGTGACCCTAACACAGTAACAACCTGAGGATATTTTTTTATTTAATGATTTTATGTGGGCGTCAAATTTAAGCCTATAATCTATATTCAACCCTAGAAACTTGGATGAGTCTACGATGTCAAGAATATGGTCTTCAATAGATATGTTATTAAGAGATACAAGGCAAGATTAAAATATGTCTGTCTATAAAGAATGGTCTGCAAGAGTTCCGTGGACTAAGACCACATAACGACCTTATAGCACGCTTCTGGAGAACAAATATGATGTTGAACAATGTTAATGAGCAAGAACCCCAGAAGCAAATGCCATAACTAAGATGTGACTCGATCAAAGAAAAATACACCCGTCTAACAACCGATTCGCCCAGCTCAGCCTTGACAGTTCTAACAGCAGCGACAGAGCTAGTCGGACTGACAGAATTGATATACATATTCGCTCTTTGCAGGTCTCTTCCGAGACACTTTTTAACGCAAAGTTCTATTGCAAATATTTCCACTTGAAATATGATTGGGCTTTGTCTTAGGGCTGTTGCTAGGGTACATAGTAGGCCGTATACCCCTGATCCAGTCCCTTAAGCCAGCTACAGACAGTACGGCAAGCCTATCAGTTCGAACTGAACAGTTAGCCAAAAGGCCGGTTGCCGGAGAGACTGACGACCCTCCAAATGTTCAGGCTTACCTGAAATATTCTTCAGTCTCAATCATCATGTAGGTTTAATCAAATCAAATCAAAATAAGCTTTATTATCTTATAAGACAATAGTCTTGTTGACAAAGCATATACATTATAAACAAAAATCATCAATAATCAAAATTAAAATTTAAAAATAAAAAATCAGGACTAACAAACAAAATGGTGAATAGAGCTGTAAAACTTAAACCTAATGTGTAAATTATAAAATACTGAACAAAACAAAAATACATGACTAGGTTTTAACAATATATAAACAATTAAATAAAATACAAAAAACAAAATATGCAGAATGCTAAATGTCAATTAAAATCATTATAAAATTCGTTCACACTATAATAGGCCTTACCAACTAAAATCTGCCGAACTCCTTTTTTAAATTGTTTCATTGTAGGAAGTATCTTCACCTCATTGGGTAAGTAATTATACAGTTTGATACTTTCATATATAACCGATTTTTTGGTTAAAGTCGATGTAGGAATGGGCAATGGCAAATTGAGGTACTGTCGCGTATTGTAGTTTGAACTGCGGGGTGAAAAGCTCTGACGGTTTTTGTAGACAATACACACGGTTTCTAAAATAAACAGACTGTAGAGAGTCAGGATTTGCTGGTTCAAGAACAGAGGTTTGCACGAATCTCTCGGCCTTGCACGACATATAAGGTACCTGACCCAAATAAGGCCATGTACCTAATAAGGCCAATGCCCCTTATTGCTTAATATTGAATCCCATAATCAAAAATTGAAATATTATTGAAAAAGATATCTATTATGCAAATCAAAAATTATTGCGAGGATTCCTAGCAACTCGTTATATGTCGAAAAATGGCTAACCACAGATTTCATATGTCACGTTATAACTTTGAGGCTGGAACTTAATTAGTTTATACACATGTTCAGAAAGGGAATGGAGCGAATGTAATTTTTACATGGACATTTATGTATTGAGAAAGCTACAGAGTAAGTACAGAATAATATCTTTGCTAGATTTCTAGTTACAGAATTTTGTTTATCAATGTAACATGTTCCTAACAAGGCCACATGAAAAATTTTCAATTGGCCTCCCATCACAGTGTTTTTTTAAAAAGAATGTGTCATATTATTGCTTAAGTGATGTGTTCTAGAACGCCTGAAGTCTAACCAAGCAAGAAAAGCTGCGGTTCATTTGTCCTAGTTGTATGTAGACCTATTCGGATTACCATCCCTGGACTTCAAATTATTGTTTTTTTAGAATGCAGCAAACGTTAAAGTTCTATTTTGAGAACTTTATGTCGAAAAATAATATTTTTATGAATGATTCTATTTATTTTAAACATTTTTTATTGTTGGCCTTATTAGGAGCATAGTGATCCGAATTAGGCCAATGGTAAGGGTCATTGTTTTACGCAAAAACCACCACTTATATGTAAAAATAAATAATTTGGAGTTATTATTCAAGTAATAGAGGCGAAACACTTCACATATAAGCTCGTGATTCTTGTTGGGTTTGGTGGATAGTGTTCGGGAAAAATAAAACTTCTTAACATGGCCTTATTTGGGACAGGTACCTTATATCTTACTGCTCGCTTTTGTAAAACAAACAATGTATTTAGCAGATGTAAGTTTGACATACCCCAGAAGCATATACCATATCTAAGACGTGACTCAATAAGTGCGTAATAGATGGTTCGTCCCATTGAGGGGCCCAATTCATTGACGGTAACTCTAACTGCATAGCACCCTGATGCTATTTTTCTGCCCAGACCAACAATATGCGACTCAAACCTTAGTTCCCTGTCAATAACAAGTCCAAGAAACTTGGTATCAGGGCGACTTTTAATAATAGTATCCCCAATAAGCAAGTCCTCCAAGTCAC